TACTATAGCCAATATTAACTATATAAATAGGTATCTAGTAACAACTTACTAACAATTTCATGAACAATTTTGAAGTTTTTAACACTAAGTTACAAGTTGTTAACTATACATTTGTACCTTTAGGTTAATCTAGGTACTTGTACGTATAATATTATTTGATAGTCTATAATATATTACTGCAGTATAATCATGATTAAAAAAAGTCAGTTACAAAATAAAAGGTGAAATGTACCTACATAGATATATGAATATACTATAGTGTGTACATCTATAATATATTTATATACATATGTATATCAACTATAATATGTCCCTTTGTATTTTATGTAGGTATATATTTTGATATATTGGTCCATTGCCTCGTTACCGCTTCATCTTGCTACCGCGGTTTTGTTATTGAAAAAAAGGGAGCCTTCTCCCTGGAATATTCAATCTAGGTCATTTAACCGAATTAATACGAATGGAAAAATAATGCGCATGCAGATGTGTGTGAAAATATGAATAAACATAATATGCAAATAAAAATAATATACGTTAATACGTGAAACCTACTTTTAAACAAACGTGTAACTTTTAAAACATACTTGGATGTATGCCAATATTAGACATTACATTTGGTTAATATAATATCAAAAATCCAGTGGGTAATTTATAATAATTGTTATTAAAATTTTTTTAATAATCATAATAAAAAAAAACCAGTAAATATACCTATTATAATTTTAACAAGAAATGTTGACTTAGCTTAATTTACGTAGGTATAAATTATAAAATTATTCCTTATTCACCCTACTTATTTTTGTAACTATAAGATTTACTTGTGTAGTCATTAAAGTCAATAATTTAGGTATTAGTATACATCTTTACTTTCATAAAAATTAACATATTTATTGAACACATTTTATGTAGTAACATCATATTTTTTTTTTCGCAGGCCCGATAAAGCATTACAAGACATCGTGTACAAATTAGTCCCGGGACTATATCATTCAGAAATGAAACGTAGACAAGAATTTTATCAAAAACACCCTCACAGAGGTAATATATTTTGATCTAGCTGGGTGTTATGAGTTTTATATTTTATTTTGTATTTTTCCTATAGACATGCATTTACAACCGGAATGTCGGGGTGTAAGTGTGGATCGAATCGTATATACAGCTGATGAATTAATTAGCTTGTCATTGGAATACTACGATAAGTAAGTGTTTAACAAAATATTAACGATTAAATTAATTATGCATTTGATACGGATAAAACTATGTATAATTCTAAATGGGATTTAAGTGGTTGTAGTAAATATAATGTATATAATTTCGGTTTACCTGTATATCTTTATTTATTTTAAATTTATAAAATTTTAATCATTCATATTTAACAGTGATAGGTTTAAAAGTTTTTTGTAATAATAAAAAAAAAACTTTAAACATTTATCTGAGATTTTGATAAAATATTATCTCACCAACAAAATATTGCATTAATTCGGGTAGTAGGTTTAATAGTTTTCGTGTTTGACACTCACTATTATTGCTTTTATACTCTGCGCAATTGATTGTAAAAACTACTTTGAATTGTATACCACAAATCGTATATTATAGGTTGTTGAAACAATAAAACAATACATTTTCAACCCTGAAGTGACTACTGAGTGTCTGACTAGTACGGCAGGTAGGTACAATATGTACCTACACCATTCATGGTGTTTTCACAGATAGACAAAAGATAATTTTCATTGTCAAAGCATATAAGCGCATAGGTATATTATAATATATTCATAGTTACGAACCGCTAGTGGGAGAAGAATGAATATCTATAATTTATATCTTGATAATTACAGGTACCTATTATTTATCCCAAATCGGGCAAAAATACAAAACTGCACAGATGGCAGTTATTGTATTTATAATAAAAAAGTAACGTTTTATTTTATATTAGGTAGGTTATCTAAAATGATTAAACGGCATTTAACTTTTTAAAAAATAAAATAAATTCTCATTTTCTTCTTAAGTATTTTTATAGTAATCGATGATATGCGTATATATATATATCGTGTAGTTTACAATTAAATTTTTTATTATTTTAAAGGATAATTCGATAATATAATTTGGTAGGTAATATTCTGATCTTGTTCATATATATTATGCATGAAGTGTGTCCTGCAGTTGGCTGATATTGAGTTATATCAGAAAACATATAAAAGAGTAACTATTCAGCATTTGAATTGTTATATCACCATTTAAGAGCCTATACAAATATTACTAAAGATAAACAATTGTAGTAGGTAGGATGTAAAAAAAAAATAGTGAAAACAAACTTTGTGATTACAAAATTTCAAATTTTTCAATTTTCAATTGCTCATTTTTAAATGGTTTTACAAAATTGTAGATGCGTGTCAATAAAAATTTAAAATTATAGGCATTTCCTAGTTGATATTATGTTAGAACTACAAAAAAACATCACAAGTTAAATATGTAGGAATATTTTTTTATAAAGCTGTTATAACCTAACCATATATGGTTACATATCACTCCCTCCTTAAATTTCCGTATACAACATATTGGAAGCTACAGGTCTTCAGTGCTCATCTACTTCCAATGTATAGAGAAAAAGAGAAAGAGCCCTCAAATGCATTTCCCTCGCGCGTTATACATATCGATCAGGGCCCAGCACGGTTACCTTGGTTACCACGACACGCCGGAAAACCACATTTTTCTGAGATCCTCCACTAGCCGTTTATTATTTTTCAAGATCAACCCTTAAAATTGTATCTACTTATTATTACATATTAATTTGATAGTAAAATATTACAATATTATTTTTTTATTATATAGGTATACAAATATTTTCTTAGTTAGGTATTAGTTATTACTTTTAAAACCTAGGTATATGCTATTTATATATATTTTTAATTACCTAATTTAGTGTAATCTTTTCTAAATAATACAATTAATAGTATATATTGTTACATTATTATAATAATGGTAAATCAAAAATAATAAGTAATATCGAATTATATTGTTATATAAACCCATACATAAATATACTATTGACTTCTCGTAGTTTACTTTTTAGACTGTTTAAATAAACATTTCAACAAATATCAACATAAAAAAAAATAAAAAAATATTATGTACTATTTTAAATATGGTATGGAAATCAACTTGTTGTAAATAAGGTTATCTAATAATATGTATATATTTTTTTTTATCGATATAATATTTTAATGTCATTAGGTTCCATTTAAACTTCTGATATGTATGTTTAATTCTGAATTCCAACATTTATCTACGTAATTCAGATATGATTGACAGTTGTAATTTTTTTCACCCCTCCGAAATTCTTATATGAAAACTATGTCTATTGTTTAACATTTTCAACCCTTCGCCGAATAATTTCCGTCCGTTTTATATTAAATGGCGATGAATATATATCCCCACCATCGAGCTCTCTTCAACATGTGGAATTTCAGGGTTTCATAATTCGATTGTCGTACGGGCCACTTATTTTCTAATCCCCCTTCCTCCTCCTCACACCAAATACCATCAACTGCTACCGCTGTAGCAACGCCACTGTTGTTCTCGCTCTTCGTGTCTTTTGTATAGCACGCGATACACATGCGCGCTCCGTTGCAGCTGTTGCAACGCCACCCCGGATTGCAAGCAAACTATATAATATGACGTGCATGTATATACTATATATATATATAGGTATATTATCGTATCGGTAATCATTTTAAAAGGATAGGACCGTTGTGGTAGTAGAATAAGAAAATAATTTAACGTACATCACGTGCCCCGTGAAAAATTTGTTTGTTAAATTTTTTTTATTGAAAACCGTTATCCACGGTCCATTGAATTGATACATTTTTCATTCATTTATTTTGTCATAAAAAGATAATATCAGCTAACTAGCATACTGTAATTTGTTGCACCAATCTCATACGAATGGTTAAATATTTTTCAATATATTGGCTTTTAATTATAACTGAAAAATATTATATTTAATAGATAGGTGCGTTTATAAGTCTAAAAATGTTCAAACCCTATTTGATAATTTATTTTAACAAATAAATAATCTAATCGAAGCAGTACATTTCAATATAGGTACAGCTTGTTTTTATAATGTATGATTTTGTGAATAGTAATTTTCTAAAAATTATGTTACTTTTAAAGTTGTTTATTATAGCTTTTATTTTATTTTACCAATTTGTTTTACAGAGTATGTGAACAAGAAATGTGGAAAAACGTCACGGATGATAAAGGCTTACAGTACAAAGTGAGAGTAAGTAGAGTAGTTATCTTTACCAAAGTTATATTACTTACATTTATCAATTTTATATTATCTCAAAATTAATTAATATTAAATTATTTTATCGCCAAAAATAAATAACTAAATATAATAGCTACAATAATTGTTTTAATCATTTTTATATTTTTTAGACTGATAAGCCACAACGATGTATTGTGAGGAAACGGTATTTGAAGTGTCCCGCAGCCGTTAGAATGTCACACCTCAAGAAATTTATTCGACTGAAGTATAACCTAAAACCTTGGGACAAAGTAAGCAAATGTCTTAGTATATAATTTTTAGTATTATTCGATGTACAATTTTGTTATTACATATGCTATTATTCATTCGTTTAAAACACATTTTGATTACACAAATGGCGCAACTGTATGGTACAAATAAACAACAACAATATTAGTGTTTAGTCCTTGTGCAGTTGTTATAAAAATTGTACCTACTTGAAATTTTATCACACTGTATCTTATTATTATTTTATAAAATCACAAATGAATCTTCCCGATAGTCCTATATAGTAGATATGCGTGTACCACCTTGACTATATGTTTAATATAATTTAGATGTATATATGTACCTATTATGACGTGTTCTCTCACAGAAATGTATGTTATTTATACACAATATAAACGATAATCTTGTACTAACATAATTTTATTGGGTACATACCACATACCATCAACAAGCATACCAACCATATGTAATTTACATTTTGAGTTTAAAATCCCCCGTTATAAAAAGTAAACTCCAGTAGTTAGATTATATTCCGCATTTCTGCTAACAAAATATTTGTCTACATGAAGTTGATACACAAGTAACTTTGTGGTTGAAACTTAAAGTACCTGTTTTTTTTTTTTTTTTTTGATTGCGAATTTCAGTGTTTCCATTTTAGATAACAATGTGTGTTTGTTTTTTTTTTTGTGTCTTTGGGGAGATCAACATTTAAAATTACCAACAGTTTTCAAAAGCGCCTGGAAAAACAAAAAAAAGAATTATGGAAAGAGGTTTTTGGCTAAATCGATTTGGGTTTATGGTGTAACTCTTATAAAAATTACCGTAGAAACATGACATTTTCACTAAATGTTTATATTATCAATTTCTATATTATGCAGTATGCACCATAAAATGTTCTAAATATTGCGAATCTTTTTGAGTATTTATAGGCATAAGAAAATTACGAGTTTTATTAGTTTTTTTTAATTGTTGTCGATAAAATATTTGATGCTTGGCCAAAAACCTTTAAAATCTAATAAAATGTTCCTCATAAGTTGTAGCAACAAATGGAAATAAAAAAAAAAAAGTTGAGCGTAAATTCACAATAATTGTTTATGAGCGTCTGAAGTTTAAATTTTGACAAAATTCATTAAAACACCAAAATTAGCAACCTATTTCGAATTAGAAATGCATTTATTTCCACGCTTTGAAAATGTAATACAAGGTTCCTCTTCAGATTTTCTACATTTAATATAAAAAATAACTTTACTGGAAAGTCAGATAATGTTTTACGAGCGTTTGAAGTTAGACATTGGATATTCAAACGTAAATTAACAATTTCTTATACATCGATTTTCATATTTTGATGTTATTTAATAAATAATAACCATAGATACATGACATTTATATATACGTAAAATGTTTATTCTGTTGTTTCCTATACTTGATAACATTTTCAAAAATGTTTGAATCGTTTTGAGCTGTTTACAGACATTTTTAATTTTAAATTTTTTTAATTTGTTTATACAATAAATCTAAAAAAGTGGGTAAGTGGATGTCACTCTGCTGTACAGTAGGTTACAAGTGGGTCATTGTATAATGGGTCGTATTAAATTTGAATTCAATGACATAATATCATTGTATAAGAAAAACGATTCTGAGCTTAGACGGTTTGTCAGTCTGGATATTTTATATTGTTATTATTTATTATATCATGTAAGTTGAATTAATATTATAATATTATTATTTTTTATTCGTTTCTATGGCGATACACAAAGCGTTATAAATTTAATTCCCATTTTTAACGGTTTTTTGGTAGTTTTTCCCTTGGCATTATATAACTATTGAGAAAATCGAAAAATGACCTCTCTAAAGTACCATCTTGATCCAATTTGCTAAAAGATAAGGTATTATATGTTGAAATTGAAGCACTCCTTCTGGTAGAAATTTCGTATACAGGATATAAAAAAAAATAAATAAAAATAATAAGCACCATTGTAATACCAATAGCTTCCTAGCTCCACTCAGAATCTAAAAATATATAAACATAGATTTTTTTATAGTAATTTTAAGTTTAAATTTGGACGAAATTAAATATTATTTAACCAAGAACTACGTTTTTAGTTATTTTGTTGTGATTTAAAAATATTATTCGTGGGTACTTGAAAATTCTCAAGTAGGTAAATGACTATATTATTGTATACAAATATTGAATATGATAATATGTAAATAATATTAATTCAACTTACCGACTACCGTATTAATAATAACAAAATAAATATAATATAAAATATCTTAGGCTAACAAACCGCCTCCGCTTTTTCGTATACATTGATATTATAGTGGGTGGTGAAGTGAAGTGAAACGTGTCATTTTAGATTCTGAGCGGAGCGAGGAAGCTAGTTGTTTTACAATGGTGTTTATTTTTATTTTTATTTTATTTTTTTATATCCTGTATACAAAATTTCTACTAGAAGGAATCCTTCGATTTCCACATATAGTCTCTATTTTTGTAGCAAATTAGATCACCCACTTGTAACCTACTGTAAACCAGAGCGACCGCCACTAACCTGCTTTTTTAAATTACGTTACTGTTAAAAAAATCTAATGTAGCAAATCGTATAATTGTTGTTTAGTTTTAGGTTTACCAATTACTAACTTACCTATGTTTATTTTTCCCTAGGATAATCCTTTATAAATAAATAATTACTGTTTAATAATTTAATTTTTAGGCCTATAATAACTTAGGCGTAATAAAGAACTTAAACTCTTCCTAAAATTAATTTGATATCGGACGGGTTGTTCTTTGTATGGTGATCGTGTGTGAAATCTAAATTTGGAAGGTCGATTCGTTGTTTTAAATCATGTGTTGTTTTTTTTTCAGGTTGAATTGCTGTACAGGAGAGAAAGCCTACCAGAAGAGTACTCGATTATGGATATCGCATATATTTACACATGGAACAGAAACGAACCTATGAGGTTCTTTTACAAGATTAATGCACGTATGATGGTGCCCGTAATATTGCCGACGGATCAACGTAGTACAACGTTGACAGATGTCGTAACCACCGAACCGGTATTATCACCGGTACCTAACACTGCTATGGAAATGACCCCATTATCACCACAAATAAACGTGTCGGGTTTTAAACCGATCATCGAATCGACAGAAGATGATAAGAAAAAAACTGTACCACAACTTTTGAAACTACCAGTCACCGAAGAACCAATAGTGATTGAGGGAGGACAACAGTCCAAAACAGAATCGAGCCTAAAAGAACCTGCATTAATGATCGCAACAACCGATGTATCAAAAAAAGATCGTCGATCATCTCCTCCTCTGCCAATAGAACCACTGAATCCTCCCATATCACCGGAAGGTAGTTCGAGGAAGGAAAATGTTTCAGATAACGTCAGGAACAATTGTGCCATTGAACTGTCGAAATCAATTCCCTCACTGGCTATAGCGAAGGAAGAGGAAAAATGTGTCGATCTTGTTGAACATCAACAAACCGGCAGTACAACCGCCGAAATACCTATGAAAAAACTGGAAAAATTAGTTGACCAGCAGCAAATACTGCCTATTGCTGTTGCTAGTAATCCTCCACCTTCTGCACTACCATTGCCGAAGAAACACACTAGTGTCGGTGAATCCAAGCTTAATCTATCCATCACGAAACTGATCATGAAGAACAAGAATGCCTCAGCTGCTGCCAAATTCGTTCCTACTTTGCAGCAGATGCAACAGATAGGTATGCATACATCCATACCTAGCTTTCAACAACAGCAGCAGCAACAATCTTCGTCTCTACAACCGAATGCGTACGTACGCCCTGGATTCCCCGGCATGCATCCGTTCAAGAGAACTCCGGATGCGGTGCCTGTTCGGAGCCAAGCGTCTACCAATCGCCCACCTTTTATACCGGTCCGCAAGTCTTATGAGTGGAATAAGGCCAGAAGCTTAGCGGCCAAACCACATCCGTCACCTGTAACGAATTCGGTGAAAGACAACAAGCCGAATGAGAAGTCACCTATGACAGTGGTAGAAAATCCGACCAAGAAACCGATAGCTGATAAACTTCCTCCAACTGTCCCCAACACTTGTATGTTATCGAAAAATTTGGACGAAATGAACGCGGCACAAAGTCTTTTAAAAGTTGGACAAGACCTTCGGCTCTTAAAGCCGTCAACTGTCACCGATTTGCATGACAAGTATAACTGTGAATCGTCGCTACAAATAACCAAAGTCACAGAGCCAGAGACTAATCAATTGCCGGCTGTTCACGAAAATCACTCGAATTCTCAGCCCAGTTTACAGATAATGCGAGTGCCTACCGCCACAGATAAGTTAACAAAACCTACAGCAACTACAGAAATTAGCAACGGTAATAACAGTGGCAATACCGTAGTGGTTCCGATCAAACCGGTCAATAAGAAACCCGTACCAAGCCTCTACAGTATGCCAACGAAACGGACGAAGGAAGACACTAACGTACAACACAACAACGTTACAGACAACAATCGTATAGAGAGGCGCGTGGACACAGAAAATGGCGTTCTTAGTGTTTCCCTGTTAACCGAGACTTCTAAGCAAGATATGGATGCCAAGCGTCGTGAAGTCGTACAACCGGACGTGTCTATCAAGCTGATGACGTTCGCTACAGAATCGGTGAAGAAAGCTCCGGAATTGAGTCCACTCATCGCTGGTGGTAGCTGTAACAGCAAGAAAAAATCGGATGAATTGAATCCCATCGGTAGCAGTGGCGCTAACAACAAAAAGAAATTGGATGAATTGAGTCCCATCGCTGGCAGTGGCGCCAACAATAAGAGGAAATTGGATGAATTGAATCCTATGGTTTGCAATGGCATCAACAACAAGAGGAAATCTGATGAATTGAGTCCCATTGGTAGCAGTAGCGCTAACAACAAGAGGAAGTTAGATGAGCTGAATCCTATTGCTGGTGGTAGCGTCAACAAGAGGAAACAGGAAGACCCTGAACGGAAGGTGACGCCTCCAAGACTTGGACTGAATAAGGATGACGTACCGCAATTGATTGAGATCAACTCATCACCGTACGCTAAATTGTTGCCTCCCAAAAAACAGCAACCTACCCCAAAACAGCAACAATCATCGAAACACCAACCTGTTACGAAACAGCATTCGGCTATGAAACACCAACCTACCTCAAAACTTCAACCGGCTACCAAAGTCTTGGACTTGTCCAAGTCTCCACCAAATGGCTGCGTAAAACGATTAGCTGCGACCGACGTCTCCGGTAATAGTTCTTCACCAAACACGAAGAAATCAACCAGCTCTGTGCAAATGGTACAGCCAACGATGACCTCATCTACTTCGCCGGCCATCAACTCTAATCTATTGTTTGCGGCCCAAAGGCAGGCCGCCGCATACCTGTTGAAACAACATTTCGAAACATTGAACAATGGACTGATAAGTAACGCTGGCAGAGGACCCGTCGAGTGGCCTAGAACCATGTTCAATCCTGGGCTGTTCGTCGCCAGGCCACCTACTAACCTAAACAATTGAACGGTGACCTTTTAAGAGCTATTATTATTATTATTATTATTATTGCTATCCTCTTTCATCTTCTTTTTTGATATCGTGTAGTGAATCTATAGTTAGTATATTTATAATTTATACTATTGAATAGTAGTTATTATTTAATATTAGTTAGCCTATAAATAGGCATGTACAAAATGAATTATTATTTTTTTATTCGTTAATACTAATATTTAATTCCTTTTTTTGTTGACGAGCTCGGTATGTTATGTCAAAGCTCAAATGTAATTTTTTTTTTTTATGTATATAAACTGTACAAATAAGACACATGTGAAAAAATGATGATAACACTGCATCATTATGCTATTATTTACACTATTATATTAATAGCAGACTGTTTCCCTATATTTATCGCATTATATATTTTTATTATACGTACATTTACATAAATCACACCATATATGTTGCTTAAACCACGACAATATTGTATAGCAATGATATTTATTATTACTATGTTTTGTATAAACCAATAAACCGAGGTATATATTATTATATTTAAACTATTTTGTTTTTTTATTATATTATTCATTCCATAGACAAGGGTATAATATGCAAACGTGTACACTGTACAGATAGATCCGCGACTTCAGTTCTGTGCTACAGAAGTGTTTACTTCACCAAATTAACGTTTGCTCTTTACTTTGCCCGTTAACCTTAGACACCCCGAGGACATCGATAACGAACTGCGGACAATAGCATGATTAAATTTTTTTTCAATCCTTTGATTAGTTCAAGAACTTTGATACTCCTCCACTCCTCTCTTTTTTTCTATCTACCATTGCTACTTTGAGTTATTAGAAAGTTGTTTTGTCTAAGTGTTCTATGAATTGTTTTATAAATTGAGCTCTTCCAACTTTTTCCTCTATCTTATCTTCCATTATTGTTAATGTTCATCATTATTATTATATTGTCTCTATTCGTCAATTAGGCGTTGTTGGGAAGGGAGGCACGTCTGTGCAATAAAAGTCGCCGCGTTTCATAATTCCTTTTTTGTTTTTTAAACACACACCTGTCGGATTACATCTGCCCGGTTTTCGAGTTACCTCAAAACTGACATTTTTGGAAGTAAAAAATGATGATAGTAAGTATTGTGTTGCAGCCATGTGGTGGCCCGTGGGCGTGTTTCGTGTATGAACACAGGTGTGCATACGACAATTGCTATTATAATATTATTATTTTATTATAAAACCCTATAATACGCACATTCGCTCGGGTAGTTTTTCCAACGTTAATTAACTGCCACGATCGACGAAACTTGTACCTATACGTTGGAATATAATATACGTTTGATCCCTACGTTGTAGTGTAAAACTGATTAGGGGGGGGGGGGTCTTGTAAAGAAGAAATGTGGCGGCTACAACAATATTATTATTACCGGCTCATTACGTATTCCACACGAGGCGGTGGCGAAGAAGGGGTTCGATCGGGTTTACCTCTGTTGGTGGGGGGCATCTGTCCGGGTTTTTATTCTGTATATATATATATACGATTATTATATTTATTATTTAGGTGCTGTGAAAAAGTTTCTTTGGAAAACTTTAACTCGCCCACAGAATAATCGATTCTATACCGATGATGACGACATCGGCGCGGTCGACCGCGGTGTGTTATTGTATGTATATATAATAGTATAATACCTAACGATATTGGTATTATAGCGCATTAGCGTTGTTGTGAGTGTTTGTACGTGTGTCGCGCCGCAATTATTTGCATATTATTATTTTACTCGGCTATATTTATATATATATATATATATATACAAGCGCATGCTGCACGTGACAGTCGGTATTTGTCGATCGTTCGCCGTGTAGGTGTTAGCTATATGTATAGGTAGTGTGTGCAGCACATAAATTTCCAGCACACAATCTATCGCCTATACATATTATTATTATAGACTGTCGGAGACCGCGTAATTCAGATTTTTTCACGCTTTTCACAAAGCCAATTTTAAAAATCCGTACCTACCTACAAACCACGAACAAACGGTATTGAAGCAATTCCTATACACCTACTGTGCTTACATATACCAACTATATTGATCGACCGTTGAGCAGATGATCTATATACAGCTCGCCATCTGTAATCATACTATAACGTATGTAGAAGCGGTACATTACAAAATATGTATTTCCGTGTACCGATACCGGATGAAAATACTGAGTATAACAATTATTTTGAAACTAAAACTGAGAAGTTTAATATAATATATAATATATTATTATATACTGTCAACTACAGCCTATGGTTTATTAAATTACAATAAATTGTTGAAATCAGAAATTTTACTTGGATAAACGGACGTAAATCCAGTACATTCCAGAATCATCGTTTCGCTCAGAATCTAAAATAGTATTAATTAATATTGTACTTGTGGTGGTAATTTCTAGCGTACCTACAAGTCCCAAAATGTTAAATTCTCCGTCGTTTATATAATTATAGTATATATATATAGCTGCCATATTAATCATATCATATCCATAATATTATATTATATAATTATATAAGTGTAAATGTACAATACTAATTAAGTTCAAATAATTTTCGTCAATATTCTTAGAAACACTCGTATCTGTAGTATAGTCAGCACTCAATTATTGTGTATAAGACCGAGACTTTTTAAAAATCATGTGTTGTGAATTCGCTCGAAGAAACGGTTTTTAGCTCGCAGCGAGATTATTGTAGGTATTGTATAAAGTAAATATATATTACATATTATGTCATACTATACGCACATGATATATATATTATTATAGGTCAATGTATACCTAATATTATAAATAATATATTTGTCGTGGGAGCTGCTGAGTAAATTTTACAGTATAAAAACATACAGTACAAAAACTGATTCTGTGACCGACTGCCTCCCTCGCCATCTCTCTCTCACTCTCTTCTCTCTCTTACACACAAACACTCACACACACTAAACTCACTCCCTAGCTATGGTTCACTCTGTCTGAAATCTCCCCATTCCTTTCAGTCGGGCGTATAATATTTATATATATTATTACACTTTGTGACGAGGTGAAAATGTTTAATAAACCGAAACTTTTCGCGCTGCCAGGATTATAACACCTATAATGTATGTTATATAAATATTCTCTCTGTAGGCAAAAAAAAACAAACTACCTAATCGTCCTTTTCTTCCGCTTCTACTGTTATCGACGTTGCTACGCGAGAAGGGAAAAAAACGTCGTACGATAAATTATTATTATTATATTATAATCGGCGCCACTGCGTATACGCGTGTTCCGCGCTCGGCGTTTGATTTATGACGGTTGTGCTCGAGCAGTGGTATTTTCTCCGATGTATAATAATAATATACAATACAGTATATACATGTGTGTGCTGGAGCCTCGAATACCGCCGCAAAAGATATATTATACGACCGACCTGCTTGTTACAATGTTACCCACGTAACGTATTCGTATTTGGTATGCGTTTTTATTTTTTAACGATGGTACAGCCACGTGAGCCACGGAGTCCTGCAGAAGTACTTATAAGCATGTACAGTTTGGAACATTATATACAAGGTGATTCATTAAGCGTAAAACACTCAGTATCTCAAAAAGTATTAATGTTTTTGAAAATATTTGTTACATAGTTTCAAGTTGTTAAAAAAACATTAATACTTTTTGAGATAATGAGTGTTTTACGCTTAATGAATCACCTTGTATATAAAATATAATACGCGAGCATTAACAAAATATGGTTAAGGAAAATTGGTGAATTTGCAAATAATCTAACCCATATGGCTATATAATATTAAGTGACTATATAATACAATATTATTGTCTATGTTCTATAATAACGAATAAACGATATTCATCAGTTTTAATATTATTTGATTAGTTTTGAATTTTCTATAATATGAATAGCCCGGCAAAATCAGTTATCTACATGCTGCAGTATTTCATTCGCACATAACGTTGAATTCCCGTCTATCGCCTGTTCACGGATGGTGCTGTAAAATATATTAATTAAAGATATCACAACAAGGACAGTTTGAATATTTGATACTTCTCGTTATTTGCAACGGTAATGGGATACTTAGTTTCGACACAGTATTCTATAGCATATTGTTATACTCGTAAGACATAATATGTTTGTAAGAGTTTTAAATACAAAATAATATACATGCAACCGGAAGATAATAAATTGTATTTGTTTCATTGATCTAGCGGTGTGAACGAGAGTCAAACGAATGCCTTATAGGTTTTTTTTTTAATCAAATCCCATGTCTAATTCTACACCCGCGCCCGTTTACCGATGCCTTCTTCATCAGCCTTTCGTCGTTTTTTCAACGTTTTCCATATATATATATATATGTATATACCATATGCACATGTACCACAAACGTGCGGAACTAAAAAAAAAATTCACTAGGATTTATCGACGAAAGACCTTCCTTTTTTGCTCAAAAAAGATTAGACCGTTCCCTCCGTCTTTTATGAAGAGACTATAGATGTATTATATAATATCTGTCCCTCTTTGTGCGCGCCTGCAGCAGCCTCGAATAATGGGCTCGTCGTGCAGCCCCCGAATGTAATATAAATTGTACAAAACGCATATATATATATATATATATATATATATAGACTTCAGCTGGGCTTATACTAATACTATAGTGCCGAATGTGTACCATACATGTACATATAGTATATACATAATGCATATATGTATATGTATCACTCTATATATTTTACGCTGTGCGACTATGTCCGATAGACAATATTCTCGGGTGACATTTTATATGCCTACTGGCGTTTTTTTTTGTTTCCCTTATTCTTTGAATGATATATAATATATAATATACAGGTTAGGTTAGGATAGGTGGGCAATTCTTCTAATTTTTAACCCATCCCGTATCGTATACATACATATGTGACGGGAAAGTGTGCAGGTAAATTGACAATTCGGGTACTCGGGTGTACTTAGCTGATAACGAATTGATTATATTTTTTAACAAA